CGTATACGTATACATTCCTATATGAGTGGGTTAAAGCTATCTGACAGGCTGGTTAAAGTTATTAGTCCAGCATTTGAATGCTTGTTCAAATCCTCAATCATCATTTATTGACAAGCTGCTAAATACAGATTGACATCTCCTTTTTTTTTAACACAAGAGTTGCTGGTATTTTAAAGGCCAATACATGAACAGATTGCTTTTCCTCTAGACACATACATAAATTAAAAATGGTATTAAGTTTTTAAAAGACCAGGATTCAGGGGATGGGTAATGGGATTCACAGCCCTTTCAACTCTAGTCACAGGTATAAATACAGCTCAGGTTGATCATGACCAAAAATCATTATCATCTTATAGATGTTTGTTAGCCTATCCAAAAGATATGGTGGATTCAATCTGTTTTCTAGTGGACAAATGACCACATCAAAACCACCATCACATCTGGCACCCTCACTGGTCATCTCTGTAGAATGACTAAGTACTGAAAGGGCACAGAGATAAGCCTGACTACATTAGCTTCATACATCACTTCAATCATCAATGCCACATATTCAACTTAATTCTTTTGTAAAAGATTGTCATCTTCAGGTGTATAAAGAACAGGTTAGAAAATAATATGGAAGATATTACAATATCATTAAATAAATTGATGATATACCTCAAGCGGCATATTGAATTCAGTTCTGGTTACCCCACCTAAAAAAGATACAGCAGAAACAGAAGAGGTCCAGAGAGAGTCAACAAAAATGATCTGAAGCATGGAAAGACTTCCATATGAAGACACTGTTTAGTTAACAGTAGATATGAATAAGAATGTCCTGGAAGAGGTGTATAAAATGATGAATGTTATAAATTGTGGGTTCTTAGCCTAGGGCTCGTGACCTCCAAGAACAGTTGCAAACAGGTTCCAGAGGGTTGTGAATATCCTCCTTTCCTTTATAGCTAAATTAAAGGGAATAGGGAAATGTGGGGGTCCTGAAACCTTTTTCTGTTGTAACAAGGGGTCAAGGCATGAAAAATTTGAGAACCATTGGTATAGAATGCTGTTATTTAATCTCTTTTTATAGAAGAACAAGGGCATATCCAATGAAATTGAAAGGCAACAAATTTTAAACTGGTAAAAGGAAATACATATAAACATCAGACTCCATATTAACATTCTTTCACAGTGCTATAACTGCAAGCCTGCCTATCATTTCAACAACACAGCCTCCCATTGGCTACAGTCTTGATACTCACTCTGGTTGCTCATTCATCACATCTTAGAAACATAGAAGAATCATAGAAGATTAGGGTTGGAAGAGACCTCAAGAGGTCATCTAGTCCAACCCCCAGCTCAAAGCAGGACCAACCCCACTAAATCATCCCAGCCAGGGCTTTGTCAAGCCAGGCCTTAAAAACCTCGAAGGATGGAGATTCCACCACCTCCCTAGGTAACCCATTTCAGTGCTTCCCACCCTCCTAGTGAAATAGTTTTTCCTAATATCCAACCTAGACCTCCCCCACTGCAAATTGAAACCATTGCTCCTTGTTCTGTCATCTGCCACCACTGAGAACAGCCTAGCTCCATCCTCTTTGGAACCCCCTTCAGGTAGTTGAAGGCTGCTATCAAATCCCCCCCTCTCGTCTCTTCTGCAGACTAAATAAGTGTAGTTCCTTCAGCCTCTCCTCACAAGTCATGTGCCCCAGCCCCCTAATCATTTTAGTTGATTACTGTACCTCCCTTCCTCTATGGTTTCCCAAAGTCATGCATATCCAACCACCAGTCTTTCTAGAACATTGTAATAAGCGTGACCTCTCATAGGTAAAAACACAACCATAATACACCCATCCTGAAAGACTTCCATTGGCCTCCATATAATCCACCATCCATTAAGAAATTGCTCTCATCTTCAAGGATTTTTATAGCTATGGTCCTACCAGTTTCTCTCTAAACTCCCAATTACTCTGTCAGCTCAATCATCCTTTCAGACCCCCCAATCTCTATCTTCCTGTTTGAAGTCAATTCTTTTCTGCCACTGCACTAGCTATCACAAACAATGTATTCACTATCTAGCTATTTATATCATATTCATAACCTTGGTACCTCTCTCTACTTCATCAACATAATTGTTTTTCAAATGCAGCTCAAAACCTACCTCTTTTTTGCAGTGTTCAACAATCATCCTGCTAGTTAGATCCATGTACTGGCACGTGTTTCCATCACTTAATTACTCTTAAGTGTACACTTAAGTACACTTACGTACTTCCCCCACCTATGCAAACTAATTATAGTACTGACTTATAACACCTATTGTTGTATCTGCTGTGCATTATGAAATACATTGTTTATGAAAGATATGTAGCAATATTACTCGGTAGGTATTGTAAAAAGATGGTCCTTCCAATGAGGATTTAAGGTAGAGTGACAGAACTGTGTGGGGAAACATGCACTGCTGCCAAATGTACTGTATCTGTCTTGTGGACAAATAAAGGACCTGAGTCTCAACAGTGATTAAATTATCATCTATCCCAAGTATTATCTACTTTTGCACAGATTCTGCCACCTCTGCTCATACTGAGTGCTTCCTTATTCTGTGAGTAGCCCCGCTGCAATCAATAGGGATACTTGCGGAGTAAGGTACTAATTAACATAAGCATGAGTGGAAGAAACTGACCCTTTTTAAAAAAGGGCTCTTTCTGTGTATTTAATTTTCTATTTCTGTTTTATATTTTACCAGTTTATGTATCAGTTAAAGTGCCAGTTCACAATATAGCAATTTCAGATACCAAATTAAGTGGTATATCTACTGGATGCAAAGTAACAAAAATATTGCACATCACTTGTTTTCTTGAAGTACTTGGAGCAGACATACAAAAATAACAAAAGGACTGCCAAGCAAATCTACAGTTCTAGTGTTATACCAGCTACAGCCCTCAAGAGACTTTAAAAGTATTTCTCATCTGTCATTATGAAAACTAACATTTTAGTGCAACCAAAAAAATAAATAAAAATCTGGCCTGATATTGCAGACCGTTACTCACATGAGTGCACACATTTAAGTCAGTAAGGCTACTTGCATAAGTCAGGACTACATGTTTGATTAAGCATCTGCAGGTCTGGGCTCAACTGTAGCATAAATAATGAAAACATATTATCTAATCAGAAATATTGATAAAAAAATTCAAATTAATTTGATAATGTTAGTGATCTAGTCAAGTTTTCTAGGTTCATACTTAATGCTTACTGATCTATGAAGTTGTATCAAAAACATTAACATTTAAATAGATTGAACTGCCTTCAGAGCTGGGCACCCAGCCAGCAGCCACCACTCTCTAGCTGTCCGGCTCTGAAGGCAGTGCTGCTGCCAGCAGCAGTGCCTAAGTAAGGGTGACAATACCACTATCTCCCTACAATAGCCTTGTGACCCTCTTTTGTGTCAGGACCCCAGTTTGAGAAACGCTGGTCTCTCCCTTGAAATCTGTGGGCAAAAGTAAACAAAAGACCAGATTTCACAGGGGAGACCAGATTTCACGGCCGTGACATGTTTTTCAAGGCCGTGAATTTGGTAGGGCCCTAGTAATAACCATGATTAATAATAACAGTAAATGAATGAGAATTATCTAAAATCTCATACACCTTTTATTTATTTTTTACTACTAAATTGGAAATGGAGAACATTAATAGGCCAGAAACCTTAAGGCTTCATCTAGGGTAATTTTATCTTATTTCTGAACAATACAAGAACATATGATAAAGGGGTACTCTGAGGTTAAAAATAATATTAAAAAACAAACAAATTTATTGACCTGTGTTACTAATGTTGCCTTGGATTGTTATATTTGAAATAATTTTTAAATCTAACCCTTCAAGATTTATATTTGTTTAGTCTTTGCATTTCATTTAACAAACATAATAAAAATTGACTCAACACTTTCAGTATCTGGTTCTCAGTTACAAGTATTTTTACTTTCAGGTTCTCATTCACTAGCACAACATTGCAATTTGTGGGTTGCAAATCCTGAAGGAGAATGTTTAAATCCAAACAAAAACTGTTTACATTGAAATTTCCTCTCTAACAATTTCATGAAAACATTCTGTTTTTGCTAAACCTTCTTGGTACAATATCTACACTCTGGGCCTAAACCTATATATCAGTGTCACTTTCAATAATATCTCATGAATGGAAATGTACTACAAAAACTGTTATATCAAGACAGTTCAGTTACACAACAGATCTAAAATGGCTTCAGCATATTTACTCTATCACACCATATGTTAAGCTGTGGTCTCTACAACAAAACCTTTACACACTGAAGTCATTATCTCTATGAAGTCTGCAACTGGCATTTAAAACTTATTGATGGCCTGGGTATTGGTGGCTCAGTAGGCAGCCCTCTTGCCTGAGGCCCACAAGGTCACAGGTTCACATTCTGCTTAGGAAAAAAGCTGGACATATTCCAGAGTTGTGTGTGGGCTGTGCTAGACTCCTGGAGGGGCAGTCCTTAGGATAGTAAATGAAACCCTGTCTGTTTTGTGCATATCAAGGGTCTCATGGTAATGGAAGAGGAAGAATGGGTAAGAAATGTAAGTTTAATATGCCTGGAGCAAATGAGTGTACTTGTTGGAGATCCTGCATTCAACTATGTAAGCACAGGATGGTAGAAGAATAACATAACCTCCACATTTTTGGACTTCTTAAATCATTTCTGACTTTGTATTAGGCATGTTTGCAAGAGACCTGTTCAAAGACATCACTAAACATGATCATCATTAACTGATTTCTTTATACTTTCTGGACTGACCTGGGATTCAGTTTCACACTTTGGGCCTGTGAAAAATGTATGCATAATTTTGGTAAGTGGGAAGTTTAATCAAGAAATTTTTAAGATGGTAAAAACTTGTCACATGCTGCAATCTGTCTGATGACATTACTATATGCATCAAGGAAAAATCTTTAGCAAATATTTAAATCAGTACTGGCAACTGATTTAGAAAACAATATAAAATTAAGATTCAACCTGCTCTGGTGTTAATCTTTGATATGTGGTTATCCCAGATGTCTCTCCTCCTCCTCCTCCTCCTCCTCCTCCTCTTTATAGACAGGTAAAGATGGAACTCTTGAAGGAACTGGGGATCACACTCTAGGCAAAGGTTGGACAGGTGATCAATGTACAGCGTGAGATTTGCCATGGCTATGTGCCTCCAACAGTGACTGGATCATCTAGTTTAAAAAGACAACACATTCAAAATTGTAATATTTTATTTAAAACATGCATAAGGGAAAAACAAGTATGGGAGAGAAATAGTGTATTTGAACAACCAGAAATATATCTGGATGACCAAACTTGTCAAATTGTAATTAGCCCATTTCATTCAGTTGTTATTGTCATCTTTAGTTTTCTGCTTACATCTCTTCAATGACATCTGATACAACTCTGCAAAGTGGCATGCATCACCAGTACCATGAAAAATCAGGGCCTGATTCATTGAGTTAAATGGGCTATGCATCAGGCCGTTAGTAAATAAAACGAGATTTCACTCAGCAATGCCCCAGAAGGCAACTCTAAATCCAGTCTCATAAGAGTGCAACACATTGCTTCTGTCAGCTGTCTACTCTAACTCTGGTATAGTAAATAATTGCCTTTTTTTTAACATGGAAAAACCAAATAACCATTAATAATCTGGAGCCTTAGGTTTAGCTTTGGCCTATGTACATTTTCTAGATGGAAAAACAGACTATGATGTATTTAAGCAACAGTTCTTGCACAATTAAAAGGGATCATGAATGACCAGCACAACAAAATCTTTAGGGTATCACCAAATTCCTGCATAAGTGATAAGCTTCACACACACACACACAAAAAGACTTAATACTTATATTTTAGAAAAAAGAACTTAATATAATCCTGCTGCAAATCAGCAAATGTTCTAAGCTAAAACAAATTCATTTTGTCTCTAATATATAACAAGAAGCTGTTTCATAGAGGAGTGAAGGATATCCTCTTAACCTGTGATAACAAATTTGTTTGTTTTTTTCTCTTCTTAGTAAGAAAGCAATTAGATTTTTCCAATAAAAATATCCTTGTGCATATATAAACACTACTGGTAATCACGTAATTACCTTACCCAATCAAATTAAATTGCTGTCAGTTGAGTTCCCACTGCTGATTAACTTTAGTATACTTTAAATCTAAATGAAGTCTTTGGTAAAGTGCACTTAGCCATTTACAAAGGTGTCTCTATGATTCTACAAGGCATAACAGCAATATATTATTTGCCATAATCATCCAATGTTCTAGGTCAAGGATAGCTCATACTGAACCTCTTTTAGAAAACCTTAAAGAAACACAGAATTAAACTATGTTGCTTATTTTTGTGTTCTTTGCCATAACTTCTAAATGTAATAGTAACCTTTGACCCCCACACATTAAACACTGTAATTATGTAATTAAAACTAATTATGTAATTTATCTTGCATATTTTTATCTTACAGGAGGCAGGTCAATTACTTCACTCATTGACCTTAGGAGATTTCACAATTTGAAGCATAACAAGTCTTTAAATTAATTTTAAAGTACAAGTGGAAAAGAACAGTAGATCTGCAAAACTTATCAAATGAATATTGTGGAAGAAGCACTTACAAATCTTTATACTTTATATTTTGTAAAATAAATCTCTTGATGATTATTCCATTCCTTTAAGTATCTTCCATAATTAGAAATATTAACATATTATTTATGGTCAAATCTTACATATAGTACCTGCCAACTGTAATTGCCTGGGGCCAAACTATGTAGGGGGGATTCCATATTTCCCTTCCTTCTAATCTTTCCCAATTTCCTCTCTTCTCATACTCTCTTCTCCCTACTGTTGTCCTTTAGTCTGCTCTGCATTTCTTTCTCTTCTCTCTTTTCCACATATACTCTCATGCCTTTTTCTTTCCCATTTTGTCTTCTTTCTTCTATCTTCTGTATACCATCACCATCAGTAAAACCCGTTAGTAGTTTAAATAGTCTCTCAGTGCAGTAGCTGTTGGTACTACCGGTCTGTTCTCATCCCCACCCCCAATGCTGAGTTGGCATTTCAGGAGATGGTGTTTCACATCAGCTAATGACCACCCTGCACCTTTAAGGGAGGGGGGGCGGGATTTGGCTGGCTAGCTGAATGAAGGGAACTGTGCTTTATGGCTTGGGGGGGGAGGAGATAAAAATGCTGCAAAAGGGTCAATGTGGTTGCTGACTCATCCCCTGGGAATGAGGGGCTTAAAAGGGGCAGCCCTGTACCTTAACCCTCCCTTTTGCATGGAGCAGGCTGAGGCGGCACCCACCCTCCCTCCCCCTTAGGTGGTAAAATACCAGGTTTGGTCTAGACCTGCTGTGGGCATTATGCTAGCAACCCCTTTGTTGAGGGGGGCTGGGAAGGAATTTTTCCCTTGCTACCATATTGACCTAGGTGGAGTTGGGGTTTTTTTGCCTTCCCCACAGCGGGTTCAGGTGGGCTCTATTCATGCATGGCATGAAGGGCGGTAGGCAATATGTCGCAACTCATTATTTAACTTTGGGGCGGACGTCCAGTGTAGGTACTCCATAGGAAAGGCAACCAGTGACCGGATAAATGGCTTGGAAAAGGACTTAAAAGAGGTGTTTGGTAAAGGAGCGAATAGGCAGTGTTGGGGACTCCTTGGCAGGGAGTCAACCCCCATTATTAGCGCCCACCTTAACTTTCCTATGAAGGTGGGGGGTGGATGGTAAGGTCCCAGCAATGAATTTGCTGGTGGGACCTGGATGGAAAAACAGGGAGCTGGTAAAAGCCCCCCGGGTAATTATGGAGTAAACATTGGGGTTACCTGCACTGTACACTTTTATCTGCCATGTAGTCCCAGACACCTAATAATAAAGTTGCGGTACCTCTTTTGATATAGCCAGACAATGGTTGGAGTGGCTTCTAATGGTAGTGAGTCAGCAATGGCAAGGAGTTGTGGATTAGAGGCAATCACAGTGAAAGCAAGAAAACATGGTACAGTTTAAAAGTGGGCCTTGCAAATATACCATATTTGGTACAACTGAAATACATACTACTAAATTATTCAGTGTGTATCATTTCTTTAATACCATTTTTAACCTTTTTTTGAGAAGTACACACAGGTAAAGTTAAACACACAGCATTATATGTTTTAAAAAAATTACATTTAAGGCACATACAGTACCTCTTGATGAGGAAATTCTCATTTTTGTGGTATGGTAAAATGATCATCATCATAATCATAAATCAACCATTTTTAACTTTTCAGTAAACTAATTCTTATGTAATTTTGGTCAAAACTGTCTCTCAACAGAGAAAGGCCAACTGACAAAGTGAGTAGGCATGTATGCCTGTGTGCTCTAGCTCATTAAGGGCCAGACTGTGATTCTCTTACTCATGGAATAGTACCTTACAGCACAAGTAGTCTCTCTGAATTCAACAGAGTTAATTGTAGAGCAAAGCACTATGCAATCTATCCCTAGGTTTGCTCTGTCTACATTTTGCTACGTATGGGGATCAATTTATATTTTTATAGAAACCAATTACTGGCAAATTCAAGGTAGCTGTAAGTCTTTGCCATATGCCAAAAAGTAAAGCAAAGATGGCTAAAACTGATTTCCTTACAGAAACATCTTTGGCATGCATCAGCTATATCAGACACACCATCTTCCTTTGTATTCTCACCTTAGAAGAGGCTGACCACAGTGAAAGAACTAATGAAGGCTGCGTACAGACAGGTTGGATGGATATCAGTTAACCTTTGACATAATAGGAACCAGGATCAGTGAACTCAGAATAGAGAGTTATAACAGGAAAAAACAACTTAAGAAGATGGCAAACCTGACTGCAGCAGGAAATCGTGCACTGTAGCTGATTTATATAATATTAAAGTACAATAAAACTTCTGGACAACAGATCAAAGAAGAATATAGATATATATATTCTACCCAGGGGAGTTGAGGAGACTCAACTGTTTTGAAAAAGAACATTAAAACTCTGATATCAATATATGTTGTCCCAGCTTAGAGAACCTCACATGGAAGAAAAAGAATTTGCACGAGTCCAAATACGGTGCTATTGAAAAATATTGGATTAGGGGAATTGGGACAGAATCCTACAAATAGCCAAATAGCAGCAGGAGATCAGCTTCTAAAACAGCAGGATTCAGTTCTTTCCAGACGTGAGTGACATAATACAGGCAAAACAAGGGCACTTTTAGCTGATAGATGTATGCTTTGGAAAAAGAAACTGATGTAGAACTTATGGGTGATTTCTCTAAAGCCAATATACATTTTGGAAGATTATGTTTTATATGGATAACACGGCATTACATTTTTAAGATAGGAACAAAGAGGAAGAATCTCAATGTGGGATACACATGACTATATTCTGAAACTGCTGCATCAAAGGGATAAAGCCAAACACATTTGTGATACTTTGGCTGCTGTAGAAGCATGTCTTTAGTCTTTTGCTGGACAATTCCCTGTATATTAATTTGAATATATATGCAAATATTATCCCAAAATGACTGAGTTATCTGGAATGAATCAGTAACAGAGTGTCTATATAACTTTTACTGATTATTCATGTATTTGGTGCGATAGTATTCATGGCAATGAACATTTAAAGGTTCTGCAGGAAACAGTTTTGCATTTGCAGAAAGATGAACTGGATAATCTTACAGCTCTTAGATACCACACTAGAAGGTGTTATATGAAAACAGAAGATCAATAGACAGATCTTTTCTATTTCCAACTTCTCTATGATTCTATGAAATTTTACTTTTCTTATAAACTCCTATTTTTACTCAGAACATTCTCAGAATGTTCCATTTGGGGACGGAGATTCCTCATGCTTTGTCTTATGCCAAATGTAATATTTTTGGGAAAAGCTTGAAGAAAATCCATTTAGATGATTTTGAGCTAGGTAAGTGAGAAAATTCTGCTTACAAATGGCTACCCCCACTCAAAAATAACTCAAAAGTAGTTATATTAAAGTATTTTACAACTTGAAATAAATGTCTCTAGTTCTCAAGTAATAGGTACTTAAGTAAGTTTGGAAAAATTATCATTTCCTTCATAGGCAGAAGGATCCCAGGGATCCCAGCACAGGCCACAGTCACTTCTGCATCATCACCCACCCCGTCTCTGGTTGTCTGGAACACTGCAGGATGCAAGATTTCAAGAATAAATAAATAAA